TGTGCGGTGGTGCAGCGGCCACACGAAATGGGATGGCTCGTCGCCGATCCTAGGCCTGCCCTCTTCCCATCCTCTGTGATCTTTCCCCAGCTCGGGACAGACTGGCAGTGCACCCCCACCCCAGCCCCAGCTACTGTGGCACAGCAGCTCTCCGCATTAATGGCCTCTGCAGTCTGGCCCTCCCCGGGACCATGGGATAGGTCCGGGACACCTCTGATGCCCAGCTTGGATCCATCCAGGCCAGCTAGTGGGTGGCTGGGCCCAAGCCCCAGACGTGGGCCCCTGCCTGCTGGAGAGTCCCAGCCCCTAAGATCCTAATAAATGTGAAAGACGGCCTTTCTGCGCAGCTTGCAAGGCCAGTGTCCCACCCTCGATTTCCGCCTCGAGAGAGAGGTCCTCAGGCCCAGTCACCTGCTCCCGTCCTGGCTCACGCTCACCGATTCCGTGTGTGGGTCATCTTTCCGACCTGCGAGGCTGCGCTTGTTCTGTGCCCTGTGGTTCCACTCAAGCCAAACAGTAACCTCCTCACCAGGCGACATTCCTGTGTGGGCCCAGTCAGATTCAGGTCCTGCAGGAAAAACTGCCTGGCCACCCCAAGCCCGGCTGGGAAGAGCTGGCCTCCAAGGGGCTCCCAAACCAGCCAGTGGTCACTGTTGAGCCGGGTGCCATGTGGAGTGGAGGGAAAAACTCTCAAGGCCCCACACACCCTGTCTGGGACACCATACTGCTTTAGGCGAAATAGTTGGGATACAATTGAAGACAAATAGCTCATGCATTAGTGTATCTAGAGGGCTGGACGGGTTGAGGGTTTCATGGAAAAAGGTGGCATAGGGTTAGACCTCTCCGTATGATGATAACTACATTTATTAAAGGTTTGCTGGATGCATCATCTCATGCAAGCCTCTTAGTCATCCTGAAAGACAAGTACGGCAATTTCTCCCATTTTACGAATAATGAAAGTGGGGACCAGCAGATAGCGGAATGGTTCCAGCGCTGGACTCCCACAAGGCGGGCCACGTTCTGATTCCCAAACCTGAAACCCACACTAGCCACATGTGCATGTGTGCCTGCCTAAAATCCTGAGAGGAGAATGGAGAAGGGATCACAGGGGGATTTCTCACTCTCTGTCTCTCTATCTCTCTGACGAGCGCATGCACCCTATAGCAAAAATGTCTTCAAAAAAAATAATAATAATGAAAGTGAGGCTAAGAAAGGTGAAATAACTTAAAGTGGCACATCTGAGTCCACTCTTGCACATAACCTGTAGGATTTTGCTGACTGATAACCCAGAAGGTAAACAATAAGTAATCCTGAACAGTTCATGGTTAATGTTTTGCAAATCTCTGATAAAATGAGAAACAATAAAATGGTTAAAACAGATATGATATCAAATCCATGGGCCCTGGTACTCTAAACTTACTTTATGTTTCAGTTTATTCCGACTGACTTCTTCATGTTTCATAATAACGTTTGCTGATAGAAATTGTACATTTATCTATATGGCAAGTAATTCATAAATTCAAGATAGATCAATTAGAGCAATATAAAAATGGCAACTTTAATAACATTGTTTCTGGGCATGTTGGCACCTGCCCTTCGGCAAAAACCAGTGGCATTGCTTCTGAGCATATATATTTTAGATATAGGAGTTCACCACTGCTCTCCCTCCCCTGGAAATGTAAATCACTTCAGAGCTGTTCTTTTCCGTTAAGAGCAGTTCCAGTGGGTTTTGTTTGGTTTTTGTTTGCTTTTGGCAATAAGACGCGTGCTCATGGAAGAGTGACAGAGAGACAGAAAATGAGAAATCACTCCCCGGCAGCATGGCCACGCTGCAATCCTTTCTCCTCCACTCTCCTCTCTGGATTTTGGGCACTCACGCACACATGCACAGCATGATTTTCAAACTGCTGGGGGGACTCAAACTGTGCAGTCAGCCGTGTGGGGCCCAGCTGTTTAAATCTCCACACCACCTGCTGGCCCCACAGTTACACTATTGTGTGAGGCTAAAAAAGTCTAATCCTCAGACGTTGAATATTAGCTCTCATATTTTAGAAGAAAATATCCCAAAAGTTCTAAAGAAAAATAAGTAGGAAAAAGATACAAGAAAGGCCGTGATCATTTTCATTCTTTATTAGTAACATTTGAGGTCCTCAGTAATTTCGCTTCAATTAGGGATCGTCTCTGCAAAACACACCTCTGAGGAATTGACCTATAAACTGGGCTATGAAAAAGCCACTTTTCTGATATAAGCTCAGAGAGGGAGTCCCAGGAATCATCTGTGCTGGGTGGCCCTACGAGGGGATAGTGGTAAATTGTGATCTGGTCTTCTCCACTCTCACTCTGAGCAGACAAAATCTTCTGCCTTGAAAGGTTCACTGAACCATTCTTATTACCTAAAGATAAAATTTTGAAAGAAGCGTCTTTCTTTTTCTTTGGCATTTCCTTTCCTGGGCCATTCCCTCTTTCAACATTACTGTGTGTCTTCTGTTGGGTCTTTTCCTCCGCGGGATTGCACAGATTGGGTCTCAAAGTCTTTTTCCCTTTTCCAGAAGCACATTTTGATTTATGTGAACTTGTGTGAGGTGCCAAGTCCATGCTTTTAGCTCTCTGCAGCTTATCTGCATCCAGGCACATTGCAGAGGTCACGGTATTAGAACCCTGAGCAGCATGATAGTCTAGCTTAATCAAGTGCTCCCACAGGAAGGAGCTGTTTCTGGAATCCTCTGAACTTTGCTGGCTCATGCCTTGAGGCCAACATCTCCTGCCTCGGATCAGCTCAATTTCTCTTAGAAGACTGCAAAAGATTGAAGGTTGTCAAGAGGTCATATGTACAATATGAATAACCAGAACTAAATTTCTCCTGGAGACAAAGAAACCAAAGCTTACAGCAGGATTCCGTGGACTGACGAGTGAGACGATCCCAGGTAGGTTGCTCTTACATCAAGGGATCTGTACAAATAGCCTGTTGCCTCAATCATGCCAGGATGGCAAGAATCACATATTAATAACTGACCTGCTGGATATTTGAAAATCAAAATATTAGAATATTCCAAATTATTCCTGGCTTCACACATTTAAAAGAGTAGGATAGGGCTGGCCCCTTAAACTAGTAGATAAAAGATCTAGATCCCATATGGCCAGCCGTGGTTCAAATCCCGGTCCCAGCAGCTTGAAAAATGTGCCAAGCACATGTGTGTGCATGCCAAAGATCCTGAAAGGATGGAGAAATGGAGGAGAAGAAATTGCAGCATGGCCATACCCCATTGAATGATGTCTTCTTTCTCTCCCTCCTTTTGTCTTCCTGTCTCTGGTGAGCACATGTACCCTTTGACAATTAAAATAAAACAAAATAAAAATATTTTTAAAGTAGAGGAAGATAGGGGCCAGCAGTCATGGTGGCTAAGGCACTAGACTCACTGGAGAGATAGAGCAAGACAGTGAGAAGGAAACTAAGAAATCACCCCACCCTCCCAGAGGGGATGGCCACACCATAATCCCTTCTCCTCCGTTCTCCTCTTGGAATTTTGGGCATACACACTCACCCAGTGTGATTTTCTTTTGTATATATATATATAATTTTTATTATCATTGTTATTCTTTAATTTGCTATAGGGAACATGCACTCACTAAAAAGAGACAGAGGGAGAGAGAGGGCAAATCGTGGTCAGCTATGGAGGAGTTTAGCACCTTAACCATCACACCATCTTCTGCCCCCAACACCCAGTTGATTTTCAAGTGCCCAGGTCTGAGACTCAAACTGCAATTGGCCAGGTGAGAGTCCAGTACCTTAATCACCACACCTCCTGCTGGCCCCATAAAAATATATATTTTTTAAAGATCAAAAAAGAAAAAACTTTGCCAGATGCCACTGTCAATCATATAATTCTCTAAAGTTTGTTAAAATTTAAAAAAAAAATACATGTGTTGGGACCAGCAGTTAGTGTAATGGCTATGTCGCTGGACTCCCATGTAGTCGACCACAGTTCAAGTCCCGGACCGGGTGGCTTAAACTCACGCCGGGCACGTGTGCGTGCGTGCCCAAGATCTCAAGAGGAGAATGGAGGAGAAGGGATTGCGGCGTGGCCATCCCCCCTGGGGGGTGATTTCTCACTTTCTGTCTCTCTGTCTCTCTCTGTCTTTCGGGCAAGCGCATGCACCCTATAGCAAAAACCTCTCAAAAAAAAAAAAAATACATGTGCAAACTAATTTGCAAATAATATTTGTGTATTCATTTAAGCCACTTACAAAACTGCTTTTAAGAGGCTGAATGTATACCATTGCTTATCAATGTAATGTAAGGCTGCTACATGGAGGGTACCGGTCTGGATGCATGGCAGAGACTACTGGGTATGAGAGGACGAAAACACCGATGACTCAGGCATCCTTGTATTCATAATAACAGCATCAAATGCACATTTACAGCTGCTAGGAGTGTGTAACCCTTTGAAGTGGAAACTACCAGCCCTTGTTCTTTTTTTTATTATTCTTTTTAATAGGGCACGCAGCCACATGCTTCAAAACTGAAAAGGCACCAAAGTCTAAAGGTGGAAAGGATCTCTTTTCTGTCCCCATCTGTGCAGTCTTATAAAATGTAACCATCCATAGTAGTTTCTAGAGTGTCTTTCCAGAGAGATTGGTAATGCATGTTCTCGTTTGTGTTTTAAAGAGGAGAAAACGGAAAGAGGTTAAGCAAGTTGCTCTAGGTCATGATGGAATGACCCTCCGTCAGCCTGGCCCTCCCCCAGCCAGGCCCTTGACTGCTACCCTAGGCTGCCACTCCCCATTCTGAACTGTCCCTGGGAGTATCAGCTCTGAGTGTAAAAGCAAAGGGAACCGTCTTCTATAAAAACCAGGCTGAATGCTTTGGAAAAACTCAAAACTATGAGCTGCTTAAAAAAAAAAAAATCTTCAAAGTATAAGCAGGCAAGACAACTACAAATGATTAAGAATATTAAAAGGCAATTTGGAGGGCTCCCTTATGTAGACCACATCACAATTAATTTCTTTTTCTTTTTCTTTTTTTCTTTTTTTTTTTTTTGTGGGGAGAGGTTTTTGCTATAGGGCCCATGTGCTTGCCAGAAAGACAGAGACAGACAGAGAGATAGAAAGCAAGAAATCACCCCCCGGGGGGATGGCCACACCACAATCCTGTCTCCTCTTATTCTCTTCTTGAGTTCATGGGCACACACGCACATGCGCCCAGCGTGAGTTTAAGCCAGGCATAGGACTTGAACCACAGTCAACTACACAGGAGTCCAGCAAGGTAGCCATTACACCATCTGCTGGTCCCCATAATTATTTTCTACCTGCAAAAAGTAAAGCTAGAAATTGTGGGTGATGCATTTCAAGATGACATCTACCACCAGTCAGAGGACCACTAACAGTAAGATCTTGATTCTCCATTTTAAAGTTTGGGGAAAGAACGAACATTTATGTTTGAGTTAAAATTAAAATATAAGGTTTGAATCATTTACCTTACTTTTGGATTAGGGACAGACTGCTATGGAAAAGAGTGTTCTAGAGGAGCTAAGCATGGTTTAATTAAACAAAAAAGAAGGGACTGACTCATCCTGCTTAGAGTCACCTGCCAGAGCCTTTGTTTAATTTTTCTCCTTCTATTATAAATTTGACTGAGATGGTTGGCATTTCTCTTTTGAAAGATTTCCCGGGGAGAGGGAAATAACATAGCATTCATCTACCACACTTCATCCAAAATAAACAACGCAATACAGAGCACTCAGCTTGATATAATGGAAGATGAAAAGCCGCATTTCTGTCCTTTCCTCCCACTCAAGTGGCTTCTCAATAGGCAAATTGAAAACACTTATCGGAGAAATAGTGGTAAGATCACTCTGTGTCAGAGGTAGCTTGGTACAAAATCACAAAAACCCTTTTTTTTCTTTCTCTATTTTCTCTTCTTTTAGAGAAAGATCTTCACTCACCAGAGATAAAAACACAGAGACAGAAAGCAAGAAATTACCCCCCAAGGAGGATGGTCACCTTGCAATCCCTTCTCCTCCACTCTCCACCCGGGGTCTTGAGCACACACATACATATGCCCGGCATGAGTTTTAAGCCACCAAGTCTAAGATCCGAACCACAGTCAACTATGAGGGAGTCCAGCAAGGTAACCATTATACCATCCGCTGGTCCCCACAAAAGCCCTTTTTTTCAGAGTTAGGATATCTACTAAAATCTCTAGAAATAACAGTTTTGTTAGATTAAGGTTCGTACTTGAAACTGGACTGAAGTTAGAGATAAACTTTAAGAGAACTATTAAAAATAGATTTTATGGGGGGACCAGCGGTTAGCGTAATGGCTATGTCGCTGGACTCCCATGTAGTCGACCGCGGTTTGCGTCCCAGACCCGGTGGCTTAAACTCACGCCGGGCGCATGTGCATGTGTGCCCAAGATCCCAAGAGGAGAATGGAGGAGAAGGGATGGCAGTGTGGACATCCCCCCTTGGAGGTGATTTCTCACTTTCTGTCTCTCTGTCTCTCTCTGTCCGTCTGGCAAGCGCCCGTGCCCTATAGCAAAAAAAAAAAAAAAAAAATCTCTCCAAAGGGAAAAAAAATGTTAAAAAAAAATAGATTTTATGTATTAAATAAATGCCTCAAGAAATTGTGATTAGAACAAGGGACAAGATGTAGGATTTGTCACCATCTCACAAATCCATCCTTTTAATACATGCTTACTATAATCTCATGCATTAAAAAGTAGTGATTATAATTAAAATCTTCATTATAAAAAACTGCTGGGGGTCCGGCAGGTGGTGCGGTGGTTAAGGGTACTGGACTCCCATATGGCCAACCACAGTTTGAGTCTCAGACCTGGCAACTCGTTTCCTCACTTTCTCTCTCTCTCACTCTCACTCTGTCCCTCTCTGGTCAAATTAAAATAAATAAAGTTAAATTTTAAAATATTCATTCTTTTTTAAAAAAAAATTGCTGGAAGCCCACCATTCTCACACCCCTTGGGAGATGACACTGTATTCTTCACGTTGATCACATGTGATAAGAAAAGACTAAGGAAGGTGCCAGACATTCCAGCTCATGAATCTCTATCTAAAATGAAATCGGGAAAGTCAACGGGAGATCACTGCTTTCAGGGCTAAAGTACAGTCTGGGTTGTTTCGTCCTTAGTGTTAGCCTGAACAGAGCTGTCATGTCTTCCCCAGACACGCTGTGGAAATACCCAGAAAGAACTCGTTTACCCACTTGCTCGGCCTCTGCTATGACAGAGCAGGCGTGTGCCGCAAGCACCGTTTCTGACACTTGAAACATGAGAAGAGTAAGGGAAGAAGGCCTGTCGCTGGGAGTTCACATTGTGTTTGAGAGGTCAAATGTGCACCTTGGAAAGAAACAGAAAATGGGCCTTGTAAAAAGATCCTTTGTGGGAACCAGCAGATGGCATAATGGTTATGTTGCTGGACTCCCATGTAGTTGACCGCAGTTCGAGACTCAAACTCGGCAGCTTAAAACTCACACTGGGCGCATGTGTGTGTGTGCATGCCCACGATCCCAAGAGGAGAATGGAGAAGAAGGGATTGCAGTGTGGCCAACTCCTCTGGGGGATTTCTCACTTTCTGTCTCTCTGTCTCTCCAGCAAGCATACGTGGCTCTATAACAAAAATCTCTGCAAGGATACCGTGCTCTATAACAAAAATCTCTCTTTAAAAAAAAAAAAAAAAGCCTCTGTGCTCTTTCATGACTCTGGATTTATAATATTACTTTAGAATATTATGTTAGAGAGTCCAGCAGGTGGCATAGTGATTTAGGCACTGAACTCTCACATGGCCAACCTCAGTTCAAATCCCAGACCCAGTGGCTTAAAACTCACTCCAGGCACAGGTGCATGTGTGCTCAAAATCCCAAGAGGAAAATAGAAAAGGGATTGTGGCATGGCCATCCCCACTGGGGGGGTAGTTTCTCATTTTCTCTCTCTCTTTCTCTGTCTCCAGTGAGCACACAAGCCCTACAGCAAAAATCATTCTTAAAACAAACAAACAAAAAATAGAGAGAAATATAGAAATATGTAGAAATATATATAAATATATAAATATACATATTTATATATATTATATTAAATATATATATATATTAGAAATCTCTTGTGAAGAGCATGCTGGAGAAGTGACTCTGTTTTCCCAACACTTAACTTCTTTGCAAAGATGCTTCACTTTCAGTTGCTCTTAGAGTAACCTCCCAAATCCCTGATGGGACCTAGGAGGCCTGGACACAGTCCCGGACGCCTCTCTAACATCTTCCTTATGCACTCCCTCTGTACCACTCTCTGTACTCCAGTCTCACAGGCCATTTTGGTTTCTACCAGCCTTGAAATTTTTTTTTTAAGATAGAAAGCATGTGTGCATGTATGTAAGCAAGAGAGAGAGAGAGACGAACCTTCAACAGGGTCTCATTACACCATGCTCCCCCTTCCCCTGCCCTCTAGCCTCAGGATGCGGGGCGTTCACACACCCAGTGTGTTTTCAAGCTGACCCAGGGATCCAAACCTGCAGGTGACCACATGGCTTCCAGCCCTGCAGGGCACCATGTTACTGCTGCCTGGATGACTCTTCACCTCCCTCTCCCCTACTTGACTTAGTAAGCAACTTCTCCTGCAGATTCAGTTTCAGCATCCCTTCCAGAGATGTATCTTGCGCCGGTTCCCCTCCATCTGACAGGTCAAGGTCCCTGCTGGTGCTTATATTTCCCCATGACTGCACTTTCCCCATTATAGGTCAGCTGTTGAGTATCTGGGTTGTCTGACCTTGTATCCAGTAGAAACAATAACTTTGTTTCAGGGTAACAATATGGGAAAAAAACACCCAAACTGTTTTAACCTACTGAAAACAATCATCTTAAATTGATTTCCCAGGTTTCATTTATATTGCAGATTAATGATGATAATCGCTGGCTTGACTATCTTAGCACCTTCCTTCCTCTTAGATAGTGTCTAACTATTGTCTCCATAGTAACACTTTATACAAGGGCAGTTAAGCAATTATGTAGTTAGTAGTCTGACAGCCTTCTCCCCCAGCAGGAGCTCAAGGAAGGCAGTGTTGGTCTCTTTCTGTCTGTTCACTGCTATAACCCAGGAACTCAATAGAGATAGACACAATACTTGTTGAATGAATGAATTAATTAGTTAATTAAGAATACAAGTAATTAACATTCGAATGCACTTAATAATCAATACTTGCCCTTCCAATGTGGGAGGGTAAATCTGAATTGGCTAAGGCATTTCCTCCATCAACAACTGTTTATTAAACACCTATTACATGTCTCTGTTCTAACAGCAGGGAATACAGTGATAGAGAAGACAGATCGAGTCCCATTTTTTTAGCAAGGAAGAAAGACAAATGAGAAAAAGCCTAATAATCAAATAAATGTGTAATTTTAGAGAGTGTTAAGAACTATGAAGAGAGGGGCCAACAAGTGGCATGGTGGTTGAGGCACTGGACTCCCACATGGCTATAGGGTGTGTACATTTGTCAGACAGAGAGAGACGGAGAGACAGAAAGCAAAAAAACAATCCCCAGGGGTATGGCCATGCCACAATCCCTTCTTCTCCACTCTCCTCTCCAGATTTTGGGCATGCACACATAGGCACCCAATGTGAGTTTCAAGTCACCAGGTCCAGGACTCAAACCATGGTCAGCCATGTAGGAGTCCAGTGATGCTGGTCCCAAGAATTTATCTGCTTTTGTTTTTGTGTCCTGCAGAACACCTCATACAGTCCTTGGGACACAGGAGGCCTACTGTCCCTCTGTTTGTTTGCCTTTCACTATATCCAGAAAAGACCAAAATGAATTTTCATTCAATTTAGAAGGTAAGTGTGGGATGATATGAATTAAAATTGAGACCATATAGCATTAATAAAGCCATGTTGGAGGACCTCTGAAGGGACTGCTTCAAAGTGATAAGGAGCTCCTCTGCAGAGCACCCAAGACTTTTCCTACAAGGGAGACAAGCTACAAAGGAAATAAGGGGTAAATTCATCCGTGAGCCTCCAACCCGAAGTCACCAAGCAATGGTCAATGGTTTGCAATGATGCCCCTCACGGGGGTTTCCCCATGCTGCAACAACAGGAGAGGGATTAGAGGCCTGTTTTTCTTCTTCTTCTTTTTGTTTTTGTTTTTGTTTTTAAGAGATTTTTTGCTATAAGGCACATGCGCTCTCTGGAGAGACCAAGAAAGACAAAGACAGAAAGCGAGAAATCACCCCAGGGCGAGATGGCCATGCCGCAGTCCCTTCTCCTCCATTCTCCTCAGGATGTAGGGCATGTACGTACACGTGCCTGGCATGAGTTTCAAGACACCAGGTCCAGGACTCGAACTGTGGTCCACCAGGAGGGGGTCCAGCACCTTAACCACTATGCTACCTGCCGGCCCCAGAGACTTGTTTTTCTTGTAGGGTGAATGCTTTTCCTAAACTACCCAGACCCACAAACTAATCGTCCAGCAAAAAAAAGAGAGAGAGAGAGAGAGAGAGAGAGAGAGAACCTTACAATTCTGTCACACATTACAATGTATAAAGCTCTTAAAATAATGACTTGCTGAATCAGTTAAGTGCAGTTATCTTCATACCATAATTTTCCCCCCTCTCCCTGCCCCAATCAATGAAAAAATACATAGCTGTTGGCTTCTAAAAGAAATGCTTTGAAGACTAATTCTGTAACACTTTTATAGCAGAGAGGCTAAGACTTCTTTTAAGATAAGTAAGAGTAAGGAGTTCTAACTGTATGTGGCTCCTACTTACTTATTTTATAGAGGCGACTAGGGCACATTTCCATGTAGAGAGAAAATGTTCAGAAGAGGTAGGAAAACTAAGTTACTCCTTTCCTGTTAGAGGGCAACTGAAAAGGTATCCATAAACAGACTACATCCTGGCCAACACGCTGGTCCTGACGTGAGGAAGATGCTGGTCTGCTTTCTCCATCACTGGCTGAGGTGAAAGCATACGCATCTCATGTTAAGAGCTGAATGAATCATCTACCACGTTCCTCTGAGCCACAAACCGACCTTATGTTCAGTGAATCCATTTTCATCACCAGCAGGAGATAGAAACAAGGGGTAGTAAGAGATGAATCTTTATTTGATCATAACTACATGGAAAATTGACCTCAAAAGAGAAACATCTTATAAAGACCTACTTAAGAAGTCACAAAAGCATGGCCCAGTCTCTGTGACACGGTCGGCTGCATACTGGACTGCACAGCTGGAAGCCACATGCCAACCAAGGTCTGCGTTGCTGCCCTGGCTGACCTGAAAACATGTGAGGCGTGTGTATGTATGTCCAGGATCCTGGAGGGCTGGAGGACAGGAGGAAAGGGATTGCAGCATGACAGCCCTGCGAAGGGTGCTTCTCGCTCTCTCGCTCTCACTCTCGCTCTCACTCTCGCTCTCACTCTCGCTCTTGCTCTCGCTCTCTCCCCCTCTCTTGTGCACATACACATACATAATATTATAAGAAAAAAAATTATAAAAAAATTTTAGTCACAGAAACACTGCAATTGCTACTTACAGATACCTTCTTATCTGAAAGTAAATGGATATATTGTCGGAAAAGTCATGACATATTTTTCTGTTTTTCTATGCAAAAATGTATCATGACTTTCCCAGCAACCCAACTTCCATCACAGACCAGACACCACAACTATTCTGTAACAGATTATATGAAGCAACCACATCAGATATATCAATTCCTCCTCCATAACTTTTCTCTGAATTTTCATCTACATTTTCTGTTTATAAACAAAATGTTTTGGCACCAGCAGGTGACATAATGGTTAAGACGCTGGACTCCCACATGGCTGACCGTGGTCTGAATTCCGGACCCCAAGCCTTGAAACACACTGGGCACATGTACATGCGTGCCTAAAATCCCAAGAGGGGAATGGAGAAGAAGGAACTGTGGCATAGCCATCCCCCCAGAGGGTGATTTCAATCTCTCTGTCTCTCCAGGAGCATATGCACCCTAAAGCAAAAATCTCTCTTAAAAAAAAAAAATAAAAAGTTTCACACATTCAACCTAGAAAAGCTTACAAAAAAACAAAACACATATGTGTATGTGTATGTGTCTGCCGTAAACAAAAATCCCCAAGGCTGGAGATGACCAGTCCAGGGATTCCACCCCTGGCCAGCTGTGCAAGGGCTAAGAGGCACCTACCTGGTGTATTGCTAACCCACTTGTTTGAGGCACAAAGCTTGAGAAGCTGCCCTGTGGGACTCACTTTGCTTGTTTCAAAAAAAAAAAAATAAAGCCTTTTTTTTTAAATAAGCAAGTATGTGGGTGAAGCAAAGGGAAAAATCACCTACTTATAACAGAAATAGGTTGGAGCAATTACCTAGTTTACACAAGGTATCGCTGAGGCTGATGCTCAGCTGCCTCCTGATGAGCAAGGAGTTGGCCAGAGTGGCTGCATTTTCCTTTATTTTTATCACTTGTTTATAAAATTCAACTACTTTCTTCCTTTGGAATCTAGAAGAGATAAATTTAGTAAAAGTTTTACATCGAAGAAGCATGACATTCACGCATTTGGTCATTCAACAAACATTTACTGCTGGTGTTAGAACTGGAAACTGAAGATGAATAAAGTTAACCCTTCCCCTCAGATAGTTTCCTGAGGTTGGAGGCGAGAATAGTGAGGCAGGAGTAGATGCATGCAGGACTTTGGGTGCAAACCCAGAGCCTCTGGACTTTAATACTGATGAGTTTCATTAAGAGAATGATAAGTTTGGGACCAGCAGATGGCATAATGGTTATGTTGCTGGACTCCCACGTAGTTGACCACAGTTGAGTCCCAGACCCAGTGGCTTACACTCACGCCAGGTGCGTGTGTGTGCATGCCCAAAGTCCTGAGAGGAGAATCGAGGAGATGGGATTGTGGTGTGGCAATCCCCGTTGGGGGAGGTGATTTCTCACTTTCTGTCTCTCTGTCTCTCCAGTGAGTACACACACCCTATAGCAAAAATCTCTTTTTTTAAAAAAGAGAGAGAGAGAGAGAATAAGTTCAAAATTAACATTTTGAAAATGTACCTGAGTGGAAGTGTGGAGGGTAAACTGAGGCAGGTGAGCCTACAGGCAGAGACGAGTTAGTCCAGAGGAAGAAGACCAAGGTCTGAGCTTCAAGCAGTGGCCACCGACCGGGAAGGAAGACCTGGCACCACTTTGGGTGTGATGGAGCTGATGCTGGGAGTGCTGGGGGCTGAGCACGTGCAGTAGAGTGACGTGGCTAAGAACTCCAGCTCTGGGGCCAGCAGGTGGTATAGTGGTTAGACGCTGGACTCCCACATGGTTGACTGCCATTCAAATCCTCGACCTGGCAGCTTGAAACTTGTGCCAGTGCATGTGCGTGCATTCCCAAAATCCCGAGAGTAGAATGGAAGAGAATGGATTGAATTGTGGCCATCCCCCTCTGCCTGGGGTGAGACGGGGGCAGGGATTTCTCGCTTTCCGTCTCTCTGTCTTCCCAGTGACTACCCACACCCTATAGCGAAAAAAAATCTCTAACCAAAAACAAACACAAAAAACTCCAGCACTAAAGTCAGGCACTAAAGTAGTAAGAGCCATAGAGGTTAGGCACTAGGCTTTTCCATCAGACTTTTTTTTTAAGGATATTTAATTTTATTTATTTATTTTTTTTTTTATTTGACCAGAGAGAGATAGACAGAGAGAGAGAAGGTGAGAAAGCAAGCCACCAGGTCTGGGATTCAAACCATGTTGGCCATGGGGGAGTGTCCAGTGCCTTAACCACCACACCACCTGCTGGTCCCTCCATCAGACTTCTAGGGTACTAACCCTGGCTCTGCCACTTCGAACTAGGCAGGTACAGTAACCTAAGCCTCAGCTTTCTCTAGTTCAGAATGGGAATAATAGAATTACTGTGAGGATTAAATAAGAAAATATATATATATTGTGTTGCTTTGGTTTGAATGTGTTCCTCAAAATTTGTGTGTTGAGATTTGGTTCCTATTGTGATGGTATTAAAAAAAAATGGACACTTAATCCAACCATGGTATTAAGAGAGAGAGCCTTTGGGAGGTGATTAGGATTAGGTGAGGTCATTAGGGTGAGGCCCCCCATTATTGACTTCTGGTAGCTTTATAAGAAGGAGAAAGAGACTGGAGACATGTGATGTCCCGTGCCACCTCAGAACTCTGTAGAGTTCCCACCGCAAGAAGTTTCTCATCAAATGTAGCCCCTTGACCTCCGAGTTAACTGAACCTCTACTCTTTACCAATTATCCAGTATGCAGTGTTCTGTTATTAAGTCCCAGAGAATGGACTAGTACGCGTGTTGAGCCCACTGTGTGACTGATACCAAACATCATTCAGATGTATCGTTAAGATGATGCCGTGGTCTGAACTGGGTGAGCTGAGAGAAGAAGCACTGTCTGGAAGAGAGGGGTAGATGTGTTTAATCTTGAGCAGGCCGATTCTGGAATGCCAACGATATACCAGATGAAGTGGTCCAGTAGACAGATGGACACACATTGTCTGCCACCAGCGATGGAAGACTGGGAAGGAGATGGAGACAAGAAGTCATCACTTCATGAAATGATGGCTGAATCCCTAAGCCCTGGAGGGGTTGAGATGCTAAGGCAGAGACAAGCATAGAGCCCATGAGCTCAGCTCAGAGAATGTCAATATTTGGGTAAGAGGCAGGGGGAGAAACTGAGAAGGCACAATCAGGAGGAAATCCTTGAGGGAGGGTATCTCAGAAACCAGGAGAGAAATCAACACTGTCAGCCACTTCAGAAGAGAGGGCCAGCAACATAAAAAGCGCAAAGGGGGCCCAGCTGCCATGGAACACACATAGCACCACTGCTTGGGAGGCTGGCAGCACTGTGGAAGGCTCAGGTTCAATTTCCAGGCCAACCTAAACATCCCAGATATGACTGCACACACCTGTGGTCCCAGACACCTCCTGTCCCAGTCTGCTGGGACAGGAGGCTGCAACCCCTCCAGACCATGTCAAAAATGCCTAGCTCTGTCTCTTTCCTTTTCCTCTCTCTCATAAGGGAAAATAGTATGTGCATAACATATGTGCACTGTGGGATGTTCTTGTTGACTTTTCTAAGAGTAGACAAAATGGACTTGGCTGGGGGTAGAACCAATGGAAGTAAGGAAGTAAACTTGAGTACTAAGGGCACAGATGGAATGATAGCTACTGATGGAATGGCTAAAAGCTGATGACGAATAAATCATCAGCATTTCGCTGAGAATGTATCATTGTTCCTCTTAAGACATTTTGTTTATTCCTCTCTGCCCTGCTTGTTTTTTAAAATTTAACTTTTAATTATTTCATTTAACTTCATTCATCCCCACCTCACCTATCCCTCTTCTACAAGGTTCTCAGGATCCCATGGATCGTTTCTGTCATGCAGAAGACTGTCTCAAGGGCTTCTGTCCATGAGAGCAAAGGATCTGCACCTTTTTGAGAGCTGAGCGGCGTTGCTCGCAAAATGTCTCCTGGTCTTAACCAATATGGGAGATGTGGTCCCCTGAGGACAATCTTCAACAAGGAAAAAGGCTTCTCCGTTATTCTGAAGGTTGATGGTTGGCGATGAGGCCTGGGAAGAAGGCAGCCATGTATGGTCAGGTCCTCTGACATAGAGGCCATCCTGTAGAACGCCTAGCAGTATTAAGTGCCTCATGATTCACTCCCCACCAGCTCTGGATTTATGGTCAGGCAGCCAGGCAGTACAGATGACTCAATCAGCATGCTACGCGTTTAGATTTTTTCTTTTACAAGGCAATGATGGTTCTACCATCAAGCTTTTTGCTTTCCTAAAGAAAGTCCTATTGTCTGCTCGCAGCGCTGGTCTTTAGATAAGTAAGAAGTGTATGAGGTATCAAGTGCCTTGAATGTCACCTGCTGGAGAGCAAAATACGACTACTAATAACTCAGTTTATTGAGCTCTTTTAGTATGGGCCAGGCACTCTGCTAAGCTTTTTACATACAGAAAGTCTTTTTTTTTTTTCAATATAGCTTTTTTATTTCCAGAGAGCATGTGCACCCACCAGAGAGAAAGAGAGAGAAAGCACTCCCCAGTGAGTATGGAAGGCCGCATATTAGATCTTGCACAACAAGAACAACTGTTTGTCCATTTTGTTCCCTTACCCTAACATGGCTGTCTGCTTCTGTAAACCAGCTTGCTTTTCCCATGAGAAAACAGCTTGTGCTAGCCATACAGGAAACCGCATCTGGAACCCCTGCTATTGTCTTCGCTAACTAGCCCCAAACCCTTTTGTTTAGCAATGTAACTGCTTACATGGAAACCCCACATCCCTTAGAAATAATTAACCTGCTTGATTCAGCTTCTGTAACTGCTTACGTGGAAACCCCAGGGAACTGACCCCCCTATCAAAAGACTACTCACACTTCAGTCAGGGGCTGCAGTTCTGACCCTCGGGCCCCCCGAGCCTCAGGCTGTAGTCACTGGCCAGCTAATAAAGACTCCCTTGAACCTTAATCTGGCTTCGGTGGTCGTTCATTCGGCTGCACTCTACAACATGAGGAGTGGTCACACTGTATTCCTTTTTCCTCCATTTATCCATCCCGTCAGGATTTGGGACATGCACACGTATGTGTGAGTTTCAAACCATGGTCATCCATGTGGGATGCAGCTCCCCAAACACAGCGCTTAACTGCTACACCATGGGGCCAGCCTCCATATACAATCTCTTAATCTTCACAATAATCCCATGGAGAAGATTATTTCTTTTCTTACTTTACCAAGGAGGAAAGGAACAAGATACCAGGATATTAAGCATTTGCCTAACTTCTCACTATATGGCAGAAATAAAATTTAGACCTAAGCAATAAAAGCCCAGAGCCCACCATCTCAGCACTAACTACAAAGCACCTGTTATTTTAGCCTTAGATCTTCCTTTATTTGGGTACCTTTTTTTTTAGGTTGATTTTTTTTTTTCTTTTCTTCCTTGAAAGAGACGGACATATATAGAGACAGGCACCCCCAGCTGGGTCCTCACACTACAATCCACACTCAGCTAGCCCAGATCATAGGGAAGTGTATGTGCACCCAGTGTGTTCAGGGAGGCTTCAGAATGCGAACCCAAGACCTTGCTCATGTATATCCCGTTACGTCACTGCTGAGCCACAGCCTGGTTCCGGGGCTTCTCTCTTACAAGAAACTTAAAAGATAAATATATTTTAGAAAGGGTTAACATTGGTTTGCATTCAAGAGATTACCAACATTACTTTCTTCCTAGTAGCAAAGGCAGAAAGCAGTCACCTGCCTGACTGGTGAGAGGAAAGCAGAAACCGGGACAGAAAAGTAAGTCAGGAAATGGGGAGGGGAGGAAAGTGGCACTACAAAGACAAAACATAGCAACTGTCCAATTTAACCTCGCCAGTCCCTGGCCATTCAGCTGGATCTACTCTGAAGGGATGGAAGCCAGGCCAAAGGAGGGGTGTGGTCTCTGTGGATTCCCGAAGGACCCTCTCCCTTTGAACCAAGCTGTCTGGTGCAGGACTGTGAGGAGAGCCCCAACATCTCACAAGAAAATAAGACAACTCCCCAAGTAAGGATGGGCATGATCTGGCACCTTGCAGGTTCTGGGCCCCATCTTACAGGACTCCCGGCCATGGGACGTAGTATCACAGACAGTGGCCATGGCCGAGGCTGCACAGAGACCTGAAGTAAGCACTTCGTCCTTGCCAGGCCTGTGAGTGATACTGGGAACCACTCAGGGAGACGCTGTACTCCCTTATCCTGTGAAAACCTCCATACTGCTGGGGGTCAATAGCACCTTTAAAATACATTAAGGTCAGTATATTACTATTGTTGTTGTTGTTGTTGTTGTTAGATTGCCAGAGGGCATGTGGGCTCACCAGAGAGAGAGGGGTGGGGGGGAAATGGGGGAAACACCTTCAATGGATGTGCTCATGCTACAATCCCTCCTCCTCCATTTCTCGATCCCGTCAATATTTGGGGCACACATACACATGCACCCAGCATGTTTTCCAAGCCATCAAGGATATGAACCACAGTGAGCCATGTGAGATTCAGTTCCCTTTAACCATAAGGCTACAGGGCTGGCCTAATGGTTGGTGTGTTAACAAGTAAGTAGATCAGGACAGAACTCTCAGACAGGGTAAGTCCCCCTAGATTTCTAAGGAGGCCTGGAACCAAGAGGGGAGACACACCTGGTGGGTAACCCCAGACCTCCCTGTCACTGGTAGTTTTTGAGGGACGTGGGGAATAGAAGACACATGTTTTAAAACATTTTATATGCACTTACTTCTCATTATCTCTTACTGTAAAAAATAGTACATCTGCTAAAAATTCCATAATTTCTCCAACTAGCATGTTTTTCTCACCAAACAAACTCCTCCTGATATTTAAACACTCTTGCAATTTCATTTTTGCAAGAGAAATGTTCCCAGCAACGAATCTGAAAAGAAAACCCATATGCGTTATTTACTGGGCATGAGAAATGTTGGCTACATTCATTGTCCTATCAAAAATAATTCTCATAAACATTTTTATGTACAAAAATCTGTTCTGGAAAATATAAAACAGCAGAGTAGTTTATAGTAGAGATTCAAGAACTTCAAAGTGATTTGTAAGACAGTTTGTACATTTTTTTTTTTTTTTAGTTTTTTACCGTAGGGCTTGTGCCCATGTGCAAGAGAGAGAGAGAGAGAAAGGGAAAGTGGGGATGGCCACACCACACTTCTCCTCCATTCTCCTGCCAGGACTTTGGGCATGCAGGCACACGCACCCTGCTCAATTTTCAAGCCACCAGTCTGGGACTCAAATCAGGTCGGCCATGTTGGAGTCCTCCATCTTAACTACTAGGCCACCTGCTGACCACAGTGTGTATATCTTTATCAAGAAACTAGAGCACCATTTTCGACCTTGGCACTATTGACATTTGGGCTGGATTTTTTTTTTTTTTAATTTTGCCAAAGGGTATGTACACTCATGGGAGAAGAGAAATGAGAAAGCACCCCGCATGGGGCACAGTCACATAGCAATCCCTTGCACTCCACCTCTCCCTCCATTTGGAGCACTGAGGCACACACACTTGGTGTGTTCCGCCAGGCTGCCTGGTCCAGGATTCAAAACACACATTGGCCATGCAGGATTCAATCACTTTAACCATCAGGCAGTAGGCCAACCAGGAAACTTTTTTTCTTTTTTAATTTTTGCCATAGGGCATGGTGCTCAACAGAAAGACAGAAACAGTGAAATGAAAGTGAGAAATCACCCCCTTCCCAAGAGGGATGGCCATGCCATAATCCTTTCTCCTCTATTCTCCTCATTGAATGTTGGGCATGCATGCACATGCACCTAGCATGACTTTCAAACCACCAGGTCCAGGACCCAAACCACAGTTGACCACATGACAGTCCCGTGCCTTAATAACCATGCTACCTACTGGCCCTGGAAAACTCTTTATTATAGGGGATGCCCTGTGCATTCTGTGATGTTTAGTAGCACTCCTAGCTTTTAAAAATCTTCCAATCAGAACAGCCAAAAACATTTCCAGACATTTCCCAAAGTTCCCCAGGCAGGGAGAAAGCCAAAATTATCCCTTGTTGAAAACCATAATTAAAGGATGGAAATGCTAAAAGCCAGCTCTTCTTTTCCAAATCTCTTAAGTATGAAATAGATTAAAAGGTATAGGTGAAGTACAATGTATTAATCATAAGAATAAAAACTAGTACAGAAAACAGATAAATTGACCGACTTTCAAACCGCCAGGTCCAGGACCCAAACCACAGTTGGCCACATGACAGTCCCGTGCCTTAATAACCATGCTACCTACTGGCCCTGGAAAACTCTTTATTATAGGGGATGCCCTGTGCATTCTGTGATGTTTAGTAGCACTCCTAGCTTTTAAAAATCTTCCAATCAGAACAGCCAAAAACATTTCCAGACATTTCCCAAAGTTCCCCAGGCAGGGAGAAAGCCAAAATTATCCCTTGTTGAAAACCATAATTAAAGGATGGAAATGCTAAAAGCCAGCTCTTCTTTTCCAAATCTCTTAAGTATGAAATAGATTAAAAGGTATAGGTGAAGTACAATGTATTAATCATAAGAATAAAAACTAGTACAGAAAACAGATAAATTGACCAAAAAAAAAAAATACATGTTTACATCAGAACACCTTCGGTGAATTTCATGGTAGCTTGATCACGAAGATTGTCCATTAACTTGGAAATTTCGGTAGCATGGTCCAAAATGTGGTTTTCTTTTAAGTACTCCTCTGATGCTGACTTTGCCAGGTTACTCAGCGCTTTGACTGCAAGAAATAAATGTTGGCAAAGAATACGGCATTTCAGGTTTTTTCCACAAAAGTGTCAGATGTCAAATAGGCATAGCATTTAATATAATTTCTTCAATAGCCAGGTGTTTGTTTGTTTTTTATAAATCAGTTATTGACCTTTACTGCATGGGGGTTGACTTTTTGTACAATGCACAGCAGTTAGAGGACCGAGGAGCTAACAAATAGATTGAAATTGACTTCCAAGTTTTGCAAATAAGTGGGTCCGAAATAGGGAGAAGGCCAACCCTGTAGCATAGTGGAAGGCAGATCTCACATGGCCAACCTGAGTTCAAGTCCTGGCCCCAGTGGCTTGAAAGATATGTGCCCAGGATCCTAAAGGAATGCAGAACTAGAGGAAAAAGGATTGCGAATGGCCAGGCCCCATTGGGGTATTCTCTCTCTCATTTGTCTCTCTCTGTCTCTTTCTCATATATGTGTGTACATCCTCTGGCATTTAAAAAAATGTTTTCAAATAAATAAATAAATAAAAAGGAGAGTAAGCCAGTGATATGGTGGTTAAAGCAACTGGATCCCACACATGGTTGACCTCGTGATTTGAGTCTTAGACCTGGTAGCTTGAAAAACACACTAAACATGCCTGGCATGTGTATGTGTGCCCCAAATCTCAAGAGGAGATAGAGGAAAAGGGATCGTGGCATAGCCATTCCCCGCTGGGTGCTTTCTTACTTTCTCTCTCTCTCTCTCTCTCTCTCTCTGGCAAGTGCAAGTTTAAAAAAAAAAATAGAAGAAAAGAAAAGAAATAGGATGAAAATATGGAGGCAATGAAACTGAACATCACCCAGGTAACCGAGACCTACAGGAGGCAGCCCATACAGTCCTCTAACAAGATACAATAAACTGAGGCCAGTAGGTGGCATGGTGGTTAAGGCATTGGACACTCCCACACAGTCAAACACAGTTCAAGTCCCGGACCTGGTGGCTTGCTTTCTCACTTTCCCTCTCTCTGTGTGTGTGTGTCTCTCTCTAGTCAAATCAAAATAAATGAATGAATAAATAAAATTAAATAAATAACTCTTTACAAAAATAAAAGACATAATAAACTGATACAGCCTTATGACAAGAAGCACAGAAGAGTCCCACGAACCTGGTTAACAAGTAACAAGATCCACCTAAGTCCACCCTACTTTGGGAACGCACCCTCTGCAAAGACCCAACAATTTTGCTCCTTTATTGAAAGTTCAATATTCTGACGATACAAACTCCTCAAAAGTAGAAAGTGGTTTCTAAGCCATACTTTGTCAAGTGGAAGGAGGTGCTGACCCCTTAGCCTTAAACTTTCTGTTTCCTGAACAGAGAGGTACATTTCTGTTGTTTAAGCCCCCAGTCTGTACAGTACAGTGTTTGGGCAGCCCTAGCAAACTAGTAGAATAATGTTCTGAGAAAATGTTATTAGAGCATTGCTAGCAGACAAAAAATAAATAAATAAATACGATTTAACTCTCAGAGCTATGAAACTTAGACGGATTTACAAAGCATTCCTGTCAGGTTCTCGGGAAGCACCTCTTTCTTACCATCAGCAACAGCATGTAGTTCACTGCCCACTGTCCACCCTGCGTCTCATGCCTCGTACTTGGACATCAGGGCAGGGCAGCCATAATTGGTCTCCCTTTGGTCAA